AAAAAAAAAAAAAAAAAAACCACGGTAGTTAAGTATGTAGTCCCGAAGTACAAGGCCTCTTTTCCAGTTGACACAAAGCACACCTACTACCTAGTACTAGCTGACTGTCAAACCAGAGGATCTTCAGCCAAGTGCTATCCTCAGGCCCACACTACCCCACTGTGATGCATGATTGGTCGATCCGAGGAACTCCATAACGATGACATCATCGAACTCCTAAAGGGGATTTCCCAAAGTATGACCGTTTGGGTTGTGTCGGTTGCATTACGACGGAAGTTGGTTGAACTTCTATATATACATATGTATACACCCCTATCCACGCAGAGAAAGAGAGAGACAACATTAAATTTGATCAATAAATAACTAATATTTCTATATACTCTACACAAAAAATAATGAGGCAGAGAAAGAGAGAGAGAGAAAAAGAATATGGGTTAAATCATGACTAGTGACGCAGCCCATCTAGCCTCACTTTCATTTCATACATAGTTAGTGACCTACCTAGTATGTAGTAGTTAAGAGTAAAACGAACCCGCTCATTGCATTGTACTCTCCCCCCAACTTCCCGTCTGCATGACGATTCACTCCTATTGGAACCCAAGTTGCCTCCCACACCTTCAAGTTCTCCCCCCCAATTCATCCGTCATTCCACCACTTAACGTTCAATCCTACATCCTCCAGTGTCCTCTAAACTTTTGATCCCTAAGCCGCAGTGGAGTCTGATGCTCTTGCGAAACTCCTACACTATCGTTTCATATTCACCTTATTTTTACTTCATCTCCGGCCATTTCTGCCGTAAAGACTCTTTTCTGTTCTCGGCTGATTGCGTTTCCAACTTGTCGCGCTTCCAGTTGTTCGTCTAGAGACATCTTCAACCGCATTAATCCCCCTAAGTCTTGAAACCGCGAGCATCCTTGGGTGATTTCTCCTCCTTTTTACTTCCTTCCTTCCCGAACAGAAGAAAATGACGACTCCGACTTTGATCAACCTCCCACCCCCTCCCTCTGATCCAGTGACCCCGTCAGATATGGGACCGTAAGCTTCCTTGCCCTTCCTATCGGACTACTTGGTCTATATGATGCACCGAGAGCGATCTAACATTTACTACAGTGGAACCCCAAATTCTGGCACAACATCGCTCTCAGCTTTGTCAACCACCGCCATCAAAGACGGCCATACAGGCCATCCACTGCCACATGGTCGCCATGCCCACCACGCATCTTCTGCATCAACGAATTCTACCACAACTCTGGAGGCAGAGCGAGCCGACCGCATTTCGCGTCTGGCGGGGCTGGAACGGGTGGTAGCCGCCCGGACTAGTGGAGGGTCACAGTCGAACACCACAGTTCCGATGTCGCATACCCCAGGCTATTTTGATACCAGCTCCACATTGAAGGAGAGAAGCACCGTGGGTAGCGCCAGCGCTACGGGCAGCGTGGGCGCTCGTACAACATGGGCGAGCGGCAGTGATGCGTTTGACGCCGACAAGATGAGCGAGGAGCCGGACGATGGAACTTCTAGCGTTGGTAATCTCAGTGATGAAGGCGACGCTAGCCTCGTCGGGTTTGGAGAGGGTGCTAGCACTATCAGCGGGCCGATTTCACATCCAAATCTGAACCGGACATCATCGGCAGGTCGGCCAAGTTCTTTAGGTAGCCCTAGTATTACCCGCGCCAATTTAATGCCTTCAACATCATCTCAACACTCCGGTGACGGCGGAATGATACCAGTGGCATTGTCGCCAACTGGATCAACCACACCCGAACCAGTGCAGGACGCTCGAATGGTCGATGGGATGACTTATGACCCGGATGTGGTTGATACCACTGTGAGAACTCCTCGGCTTGCCACTCCTCTAGGTCGAGATGATTCTAGTAACCTTTAGGGAGATAGGAGTTCGGGCTTATTGTAGGGAAAATCAATGAAACGATAAATGGGCGTTTCTCAACAGCGTCAGGTTTTTTGTCTCTCTTTCCTTCTCTCGTCTTGTCCTGACTCATATCTTCGTTTCTCTGTCCTTTTGCTTTTTTCTCTGGCATTGTATAAGTATCAAAATGAAACGTTCAGTTTTATCATTCCTACTACCCCTCCGATTTCTCCAGTCATATCCAATAATTTCGGAACGTGTGTTCCATACTCCAGAAGCTGTAGGTTAATGAATAGGCCTCTTTCTGTGCTATTGAGAGGCTTATGGCGTTTATTAAATAAACTTTGAGATTGGTCGCCACATTAGAGTAGTGAAGATTACCTAGTAGTATGCACAACCGGCGAAGTTGTCTAGCGAATACACTCCGTAGAGAGGGTCAAATTCATTGATCTTGGTCAAAGAATACCAGGTAAAGATATAGAATCTAAATCGCATTTTAGCTCGCTGTTAGCGGGTTTCAATTGGCGCTTTGAGCTTCTCTGCAGAATTGCCGCCGCAGGTTCTTTTTTTTTCTTTTCCATTTTTTCTGCCCCGAACAAATTTCCCTCGCTTTCTCTTCCTTCCACCGCTTCCCTCGCCCCAATCCACCCTTCTCTCCTCACTCGTCCTCCTCCACTACCACCACCACCTCCCACTCACGCTCCCCTACAGTGTTCCTGTCCCATTTGTTGCTGGCATTGACTTGTCAAGCACCAAGGAATTCTGAGCTTAGAGACCCGACCGCTATTCTGACCGGCCATCTTATTCGCTTTCGGATCCTTTGTGTGTGGGCGGCTGTGTGTCTCGCTGCGTCAGACAAACAACATCTCGCCACGCATAGTTGCAGCACCTTTATCTTCGCTTTTGCCTCCATCCAACCGACGACGGAGAACCACTGAGACTTGGGTTTCTCTGGTATCACTGCTCTATAATTGTCTGTTACACAATCCTATTGGAAATCTTTCCATTCAGCTTCTCTTCGTTGGATTAATCACTGCGACATTGCATCTGCGCGCCCGTTCCGCTGCATTTTACAAATCCTTCATTTTTGCATAAAGAACAGAAGCTAGAGAGTCGACATGGCAGCTCCTACACAGCTTGCTTGTGGGTATCCCTCCTTATTTGCATCGCTTCTTGGTCTTTTAGTGCCATTGTGGATAGACGTTTAAAGGGTACGATGAATGACCATCCGCTAACTCCATGCAGTCCGGACAGTTAAAGGGCTTGGCATCCTCGATGCGGACCCTGTCTATGAGCCATTGTCGGGGTTTGAGAGGTAAATATTTGTCTTCCCCTTGTCTAATCGTCCACGTTGAACTGTGCTGATCTGATGTTTTATCGTACTCGCAGACCTGAGGGGAACCTTCGCTGTAGCGCTTATTCTCCCTGTGGCCGGTATTTTGCATGGGCATCTCCCGAGAAGTATGCTATCTCTTTATATTGAGGAAAGTATTGTGCCTGCTAACTGGCTGTCAGGGTAACTATTATTGATCCTTCCGTCGGACACATCATCACGAATATCCCTGCCGATAACGTTTTTGAGCTGGGATTCTCACCCCTCGGGACCTACTTGATCACTTGGCAGCGTCCGTCGAAGGATGCGAATGGTGATGCAGTCAAGAACTTGAAGGTTTGGAAGATCGTGGAGACGGCACCAGAGAGCAACGGAGATGAACACGCGATTGTGGGCAGTTACGTCCAGAAGTCGCAGACGGGCTGGAACCTTCAGTACACGTCTGATGAGCGTTACTGTGCTCGGGTTGTCACCAACGAGGTTCAATTTTACCAGAGCGACAACCTGTCCAAGCCGTGGAATAAGCTGCATGTGGAGGGGGTGATCGACTTCGCGCTCTCACCCGGAAAGAGTCAGTCTGTTGCCGTATTTGTGCCTGAACGCAAGGTTAGGGAAACTAAAACTCTGTTGCTCGGATCATTGATTGGCTAACGCTGTTATCACAGGGTCAACCCGCTGCAGTCAAGGTGTTCATGGTGCCTCAGTTCGGGGCTCCTGTCTCGCAGAAGACTTTCTTCAAAGGTGACAAGGTTCAGTTGAAATGGAATGCCTCGGGAACTACTCTGCTTGTGCTTGCCCAGACCGAAGTTGATCGGACAGGCAAGAGTTACTATGGAGAGACCACGCTATACCTACTCGGTGCTACGGGTGGTTTTGATTCTCGTGTTGACTTGGGTACGTGCATCGCAGTGCCTGTCGGATCGCCAGAAAGCAAATGCTAATGTGATCATTCTGTAGACAAGGAAGGTCCGATCCACGATGTTACCTGGTCGCCCAACTCTAGAGAGTTTGGTGTTGTCTACGGCTATATGCCAACCAAGACCACGATCTTTAACTTCCGTGGAGTACCGCAGCACAGTTTCCCTCTCGCCCCCCGGAACACCATCTCGTTCTCTCCCCACGGTCGTTTCGTCCTAGTTGCTGGTTTTGGCAACTTGGCCGGCCAAATGGACATCTATGATTTGGAGAAGAATTACTTTAAGATCGCTACCGTGGAAGCGTCGAATGCCAGTGTTTGCGAATGGTCTCCCGATGGAAAATTTATCCTGACGGCTACCACGAGTCCCCGTCTCAGAGTGGATAACGGTGTTCGTTTGTGGCATGTCAGCGGTGCTCTGGTGTACAACGAAGACATGCACGAGCTCTACGACGTATATTGGAGACCGCAATCCACCACACAGCACCCTCTTGGTGATCCGTTCCATCCGCTCCCGACGCCCCATCCATCTGCTGTTGCGTACCTGAGCACGAGGAAGGCTCCTGTGAAGCCTGCGGGTGCCTATCGCCCACCGGGCGCTCGTGGTCAGCTTACGCCACTTGCATTCAAGCGAGAAGATCAGGGCGGTGCTGCCTTTGTCCGGGACGGGGCAAACGGTGGAGCCCTGAATGGCTTGGGCAAGCCACGGAGACGTGAAGTTCCTGGTGCTGATCCGGTTGAGGAATATCTTCCTCCGGGAGCCGCTCCTGGAGGAGGGGTTGCTCTACCCCCGGGTGCGGATCAGCCCGAGAAGTTATCCAAGTCCGCCGCCAGGAACAAGAAGAAGCGTGAAGCGAAGAAGCTGAAGGATGGTGAGGATGGGCAGCTACCCGCGGTCCGGAATCCCATGGAGACAAGGGCCACCACGAGCGTAGCCGCTCCAAGGCCAACAATTCTGAGCGCAAGAACGCCCACCAGGCCAATGGCGCATCGCCCGCTTCGACCAAGCCGAGCAATAACGCTGCAGCAGAAGCTGCAGGTGCACCCACCGCACAAGAGAAGAAGATCCGCGGACTTCTGAAGAAGATTCGTGCGATCGACGAGCTGAAAATGCGCCTTGCGGGTGGAGAGAAGTTGGAGGATACGCAGCTAAAGAAGATCCAGACCGAGGAATCGGTGCGCAAGGAGTTGGAATCGCTGGGTTTCAACGGATAGATGTGCGATTGAAGCCCTCGATCAGTGAATCACACGAACACCTTGAATACGATTCACACTCTGGTTGGCTTATTGGTTCTGAGTGTAAATATAGTCTACGTGGCTGATCTTGCTTTATTCCGACCTTTCTATCATCTGATGTCTATCTATGGCGTTCTATCCACGCCTACCAGGGGAGCTAAGGTATATGTACTGTATATACATTGGATGTGTGAAAAGACCATGAATCACGAGCAAAACCAATATAAATCGAGAGCATGTCCTGACAGCCGCCTCAATGACCGTCCGTAATCCCTTTCTTCACTTCCAACTGTTGCCTCTGCCTATTCACCTCCCACCACCAATGACTTAGTTCGTCCATCTCGTTATCGGGATCCTCATGCCATGGCTTTTTAGCAAAGATGTAATGCACATTCTTCACCTCTTCATCTCTCCAGATCGCGTCGTGCACTCCAGCCCAGCGTAACGTTTTCAGCGCATTATACACATACGGCAATGCCACCCATCGACCCCGAAACACGTCCGACAAGAGTTCCTGATCGGGAAAATCATATTTATCTGTGCGATCCGGCATGTTAAGTCCAGCCTGGATCTCCGCCCAGGCCGATATGCTGGGGCGCACGACCAAGAGGCCACTGTTCAGCATGGCAACACCGGCCGCGGCAGGGGCGCCGGATGTCTGCGCTCGGACGGGATCCGAATGCTGGCTTGTGAAGGCACAGTTCTTGGGTATCCTGTTATGCATACATCACATCGGTATGAACGCCATGCGGGGTTCCATCCTTAGGATTGGGAACAATTGAAAAACACAGAAAAAGAGGGGATGGGGTACGATGGATTGCAACATACCACGTCTTGGGATAATGTGGCTTGTTCAGCGGATTACAGGCGCACGCATGACTTGCTGCGAATACCCTCTCCTGTTTGTTCTCCTCGCTGCTCGGTGGCTCGTCCAGTGGTACACTCATCAGCTCATCCATGTTCTTGCGCACCAGCATATCTCCGTCCAGGAGGACAATGCGGTCGTACTCCACCAGCGAGAACACGATCAGCTTGTTCCATGTTTCGGCGAAGCGGGGATCCTGGAGGAAGACTCTGTTCTGGCCTGGTTGTACGCTGGGGACGGCTTGGGTGCGGATTCCGCGCGCCTGAAGCGCTGCCAGGCCCTCGGCGGGGAACGTGGAGGTGTAGAATGCGATGAAGGGGTAGGCTGTTTCGGTGGCTTGAAGGGAGTGTGAAAGGGTGAGGATGCCCGGAAGGTAGGAGAGGTTGGTTATTAGGGAGGCCCAGACTTTCTCTATTGTAGTTGGGGTGTTGTTAGCCTCGTGCAACCTGGCTCCTTTGTTTCGGTGGTGGTGGTGTAGCTCTTATCAGGGCAAATTCCGGATACATTGAGAGCTCGCTTACCGCGTTTCGGTTGTTGGGCCATGATGAATGTATTAAAGTGGGTTCAATTGCGGGGTACTTCTGTCTAGATAGTAGAGGCGACTGGGCTTTTAAAGTACAATTAGTGAGAGTCAACTCTGGAAATGATGATCATCGTGGGGTTCATCATTTATCGGATTTAATTAACTAAATCTTATCAGTGACAGGTGCTGATTACTCATCCGATTTGATCTTATCTCCGCCTTTGCATCTACATACTGAATTGTCCTACGTACAGTGATCCTCTTGTCTTTTACGCCGTATATGCTACGCTTGTACTTGTGCCAACCTCTACCTAGAATGTACCCATTCTCTTCCACGGCTTCATTTTTACCGTCCCGTCAGTTGGCCTGGCTGTTGTCCGTCTCCCATACCGAAACTGATGTGGAGCCGTCCAGAACCATGTCCGTATCAATTGACAGGCATTGGTCTTGCTACAAGCAGGACAGATCAGTCACAGTATAGGTCGACAAGAAGAAAAACAGTCAACCCAGTCCGTACTGGTGGGGGGTGGTGGCCGAAGAAATGCCACCGTTAGAAACCGAAGTCCAGCGTACTGGTTCGATGGGAATGGCCGGAGGCCTCTTGATATATCGCAGCTGATACAGAGCTTATCCTTCTTTGACGAAAGGATTTCAAGGCATGGTCCTCGCCTTGCGCTCCACCTTGCAGCGCGAATCCCCTCAATATCAAAAACCGAGAGGGAAAGAAAAGAAAAGAAAAGGAAACAGAGAGAGACAGATAGATGAACCGTTGATATGTTCAATTGGGTATCGTTAATTTATATGAGCAACCACATCGTAAATCTCGGCTTTTTAATAGCAGAGTAGATGGGTATCCAGTATTAAGCAAGGATCGTTAAATATGGCAGTGTTGAGATCGCTTTTGCGTCAGTCTCTCTATCGGTCGATGACAAAGCATATGTTCAACTAATTCCAACTTAGTTGCGCCGCACATCAGCTTCGAACAGGTTATGTAGTCGATGATGCGATACCAGAACGAAACCATGACTACCAACAACGGGTTTGCGGTTGCATCAGAGAGAGGTCCATACTCTCCAAGATCTAGGTTCCACCAGTGTGAAGCATTCCTTGTTCAGGTGAAAATCCGCGCCCGCTTAATAGGACTCCCCATTCGGAGGGATTGATTACCGCTGGCCATCCCACTCAGTAGTCGATCCATTCCTTCAACATCAAGTTCACCACGCCGAAGCTTGAGCTGATCAGTCTCTGCGGTCGGTGTCTCGTTCACTGGCCCAAGAAGTGCAGGAGATTCATCCGGCTCATTCAGTCTTGGAGTAAGGACTATAATTCGGTGTTCTGCAACGAGAAGAGCATCATGATCTCCACCTTCAGCTTGGCGAGTCTGGCGAGAAGCGGCAGGAAGGTGGCCAATGCCCTTCAAATGTTCCCCCATTAAGGTGATATCTTGGATGGCGGAAACTCGGCAGCGGTTAGACGCATCAAAGGTTCCGGTTGCTTTGACAGCATTCCGCCACAAGGACAGCAAACTTGGAATGACAGCACTCTGGTTGCCGTGTCGCAACAGAATCGACTCGTCAGGTAGCGAATCACGGTATGAATTGGTTTGATAGACAGAGATTTCGCCGCACAAAGATGGCATAATTGAACCAACCATGGCGCCCTTCAGCAAAGTATCTTCACGCACACGCTTAGTATGTGGCGTCAAGGGTGCGAATTTAGGACGCTGTTCCGCGATAGGCCCACCTGTTTCAGTTCGGGCTCCTGACAGCGGACTCAAGATCCGACCACTGACAGAAAAAGCAGTCAAGGATCCGCCAGTCACCCCCTGTACACTGGATTGACGCTGGAGTGGGCCCTTTATGGTTCCTGGGCCTGCCCCTTCGAGATCCCACACTCCCCATTCACCATCCGCCATGAGAACCATAATAGCCCGTCCACCAAGCACCCATTCTGCATTAACTATAGTTTTACGCCGGGGTACCCCTGAGGGGGACTGCTCAAACCCAGGATAGAGACTGATCAGCCACTTTCCGTCTGTTTCCGACGTTTCAAAATCATTTTGAGGACTGGATGACCTGCGCGAAGCTTTGGATGGCTTCATCGAGAAGCACGAGTAGACCTTGACACATCCGCTATGAAAGGCGACAAGTAGTGTCGAGTGTCGTGGTGACGGATATGGTGATGGGTTGAAAGCGATGTTTTGGGCTGGGGCCGGCAGATAACGGCGCTTCGACTCGATATCATCCTCGCCTAAACGGTACAACACTTCACTGCGATCTGTCTCTTCCACAACTGGGATCCGATGTATTATAAGTAGGCCCGACGACTCAGCAGAATGAGTAGCGACAAGAAGGTCCCATCTCCCTGGCCTATGTCTATTAGATCCACTTTGACTTTGAGCCATGTCCTCATCTCCCTGCGGCTCACTCGCTTGATATGTAAAAGCAATCCCCACTCCCCTTGGGATCTCTTGGTGTGATACTCCGCCGCTAATCGACAACGTCTGAACCCACGAGGAGATCTCGAATTGAGTAGGGTGCGGAGGAGCCAGGGGTAGTGTCACAACTCGGGTGGAAAGATCAGCGCACACGGCTGAGATGACCATATATTTTCTCAAAATGGGCGGGAAAGGATCGAGCGATGAACGTGAGGACTCAGGCAGAATGCGAGGGACAGCCAATTCAACAACCCTGGTCCCAAGAGGTATATCAATCTGACGCAGCACGTTTTCGTATGGGAAAAGGGGATCAATCTCGGGCTCGTCTTCTTCAAACCCATAACTTGGTTCTTCGTTTTTCTGGGGTTCAACAGAGCTCTCATCATCAGAATCAATGATCATGATGGCGTCGTCGTTGCTGCGGTTGGTTTTCTCTTGCGGTTGGTCCTTAGAGGCCGACGGCTTCCTGTCCGTAAATGGTCTTCCACCTCGCCAAATTACCTTCAACCCGTTTTCATACCCATATATTATAATTGATGAGCCATTAGGGGCGAGGACAGGATAGCCCTTGGCGGTGTAGACGCGATGAGGAAGTTGGTAGCTGCATGAAAAGATTACTGTAAGTGCTGATAGTGTAGTTGAATGAAAAGGAGTCCTTTTACCTTAGTTGTAGGCCGTCATCTCTAGACCGGGCCAAAGGCCTAGAGGGAAAGGATGGCATGGTGCTTGATATGCGATCGAGGTCTTTTGTTGGACTGTACAGCTTCCAAGGGCGAGCTCAAATTCGTCCGCACGGCAATGAGGAAATTCAACCCTTGAGTTGGAGAGATCAATCAGTGACAATAGAGGGAGATATTACACTCAAGGCTAGCCAAGTTCAAAGGGTGATGGGTTCAAGGTGGAGGAAAGATAAAGTTGTTGTGGTGTGTTGCAGAGTGAAAAAAGCAGCTGATTAAAGAAATGGTCTGAAAGCTCCGCCGCGTCCAGCGCGTCACCCACCGGGCAGGTTCCACGCTGCTTGTTGAATGTTGACACAGCGACCGGCTTGACACCAGCTCACTCGTATTTGATAGCGCTGATGGGCAATGAACATGTTCTCGCTTCTGGCTGCCATTGCCAGTGATTCTACCACGACATCTATTTATTTGCGCCGATAATGGCTACTGTCCGATCCCTTGGCCTCCACCAACCTTCGGCCATACCTTTTCTCGTTGCGGAGGGCTTACTACCTGCCGATCCGTCTGACGATCACTATGCGTGGACATCTAGTGTCGATATAGGCCCAAATGGCCCCGTTGAGGATGAGATCGTCTGGACGAAAGGCTGTGTGGTCTGGTCTAGAGCTGGGGTTGTCCAGAGGGTGTACCGGTTGGATCTCGAAAAGGAGGAGATTAGGCATGCGCTTTTGACGAATTTCTCAGTCGGTCAGATTAAAAGAACCAATGGTAATGCTTCGCAGGCGACTAAGGAAAGTTTGTTCCGAACGAGCAATGACCCTGGTCGGAGTCGCGGTTTCCATGGCCAACAGAATGGGGAAGAATCGAGACTGGAAGCCTCCGGCGTGACCTTAAATATACGCGGTAGAGGTGCCCAAGGAGCAAATGACTCTGACTCGACAAGAGCATTGGTTGTGGTCCTCAAGTCTCAAGCTCATATCTTCTTCCTAGCTGGAAACAGTCACGTCGTTCCGCTACCATTTGAGGTGGATTCAATATTCGCGACCCCGAAGGGTCTTTTGTTTCAGAGGAAAATGTATGAGGAAGACAAAAAGGACACGAATCTCTGCCCAATGGCGCCTCCAAATTCGTTCATGTCAACCTTGCCTACGACAGTGGACTTCCGTGCATCACAATCTCTAGAAATCCCTTCTATCAAGGGAAAGAGGCCATCATTGACGGTATCTCCTGCTCCGGGCACTAGTCTGAGGTCACCGCGTAAGCAGCCCGACTTGCCTAGAGTGTTCTCCCTCATGGACCCGTATTCTGAAATGGGCCTTGTTGTGACGAATCAGACTTCTCGCTTTTTACAAAGTAGTGTTACCAGCAGACCTTCTGGGCTGGATGTTCTGGGTGCAGCGGATGAGATCATATATGTCTCCCCCAAGGATGAGCTCTTAGAGTCTAATAGGAATCTGATTAGCGGCCCTCTAATCTTCGTGGTAACCGTCAATGTTAATACCGGGCTGTACACTATCTGGACAGCACGTTACAGGGAAGATGAGGCCAACCCCTCGTCTAAAAAAAAAGGACGACGTGAGACAGGTGGTACTTGGTCAAAGCGACGTAGCTCACATTTTGGAATGGCAACGGGAACAACAACTCCGGGAGCTCGCCCATCAGCTGCTAGAGAGAGCTTTGGTCCTAGGAGCGATAACTGGAATACACCGGGCCTGTCTCATTCGCAGTACTCTACTGATGGAAAACCAGATGAAGATGACCTTGCTTCTAAATTTGGCCAAGATTTCGGTGATATTGGAGTTCCCCTCAAGACTTCTCGACGGGTTAGCTCTCTACTCGCTAGAGCCGATCTTGCAACTGGCCAGGATAGGATTACCTTTTCAGACCTTGCTACAGGAAGTCAATCGAGTTCTATGCCACATGGAAACCTCCGACAGTCAATAGGTGCTGGAAGCAGCCGCGGAAGCTTCGGCTTCAATCCTAGAGCTTCTCTACCGCCAGGAAATGGTTCGGTTTATAGTACCACTACCAGCTTTGCGGATGCTCCAGTTGACAGGCTTCTGGAGGAGCTTAACAGTGAAAGTTTTTTCGAAGGGCTTGATAATATGGATCTTAAAGAATCAGCATCAGGCCTTCCGGAGGAAGTCCTACTGTCAAAAGTTGAAAGCTTTTCCTCTAGATTCTCAGAAAACTTCCAGGCACCAGCCAAGTCAAAGTCATCCCGAAAGTCGAAAATCATTACAGTGTGCCCCTCAGAAGGTGCGAGCTCGCAGAACGGTAACTCAGCGGTTTTGGCTCTTTGTGTTGTTGAACAAGACGCAAAGTCCATGACGGTCGTAAATCTACGAGCCGACAGGGTCTCTATACCGAAGAAAGATTCAGTATTTTCTAAGAGAATGAAGAAAAAGAAAACACCTGATGAGCGTTCGCTACTCGTCCAGGCGACTAGCGTACAGCACTTCTCGGGCATACGCGATGCTTGTAAGATCACTGATGGAGATATTTCACGGATCATGACCTTGAGCACCGCAGATGACGGACAGCATGAGCTGCTGTTACAAACTCCTTGGAGCAGGCCAATCACCGTTGATGTGCCGAGAAAACTGATGTTATATGAGCCCTACGGGATTTCGGCTACTACGTCTGTAAACCGTCCACGAGAAAGCGGTATGAACAGGCTTATGACTGATTATTTCACAATTACCGGTCTGGATCACGCTACCATTCGAGGGAGAGTTGACCTGATAGACTCTGAAAAGCGGAAGCATAGGCTACGAATCCAGATGGAACCCAGCAATGAACTTGTAAAGAGTGTCTTCAGAATCTGTCGGTTCGTTTTGCCTGACTCAGAGAAAGCCGGGGACGGAATATTAACGGCCTGGTGGGAAACAATGAAATGGCTTCGCGAAAAGGAAACCACCGAAAGCGACCCCGAATGGACCGCGATGGTAATAGTCTTGTTCGCCATGGCAATTCCTTTCATCGACAGTGACCACTCGCGGACGCCTGCACAGCGCACACGTAGAAAGAAAGCCCTGCTACGCTCAAGCAGCGGAAGCCACGTGGACTTGGAGAGCTGGGAAACGATGTTAGACCAAGAGGCAGGATCCGCCGGCGTTGTGCCATCATGGATAAACAACAGCACTTGGGGGTGGATCGTCGATCAAGATGCTGAAGAAGAACGCAATGCTCCCTCCGGGAGGAAGTCTGTGAAGACTGAGCAGACAGGTTCCAGTCAGTTAACATACCGCAAGAATTCTTACTTGCTGCGATGTGCGGCTTTGACTCGCGAATTTTTGCAGACCCCAAAGGGTATCGCTGCTGTAGGCTCAGATGGCCATCTTCCAACAGCGCTTTCCTATAGCCAAAATCTAAGACAGACCGCCTTGTGCACGATACTGGTCGGGCTACATCTTCTTCGTGAAGAGCAGAAGTTGTCAATCTGCGAAAGCGAGGAGTCCCGCAAATCCTTGGGCCTTCTCGCTCCGATCTTAGCCCAAATTGGAGGGTGGTTAGGATGGGAGTCCTGGAATTGGTCTGAAAATGGTTATTATGGTTTGGAGATTGCCAGTATCAATCGCTGGCAGTTTGAAGATACGCGAATTTCGATGCTGGATGTACCCCATGAGCAATTTTCGCCCCCTTCAGTCTTCAGTTTCGTGGAGACTGGGTGGCACCAGTCTTCTCCCTTTTTCACTCTACTAAATCTGGTAACTGGATCAGATTATACCCCGAGGAAGGGGAGAATGTGGCAGGAATGTTTTATGCTCACACCAAGAACATTGGCATTGGACGGTTTTCTCTCCGAAGTACATAGCATCTCAACGCCACTCGATAGGATAAAGCTTCTTCACCGCTGGGGTTTTACTAGAAGTATCATTGAGACATTTCCGGAGGGCGTCAGTACACCTTTGTACGAAGCCATTATGCGATCTCAAATGCATGCCTCAACGTCTTGGAGCTCGACGCTTCTAGAGCTGGTAGATCGCGAAGATCTCAGCATCTCGATGCGTAATGATAACACATGCGCTCCATCTGCATGGCAGCCTGCCGTGTCACATGAAGCAATGCGCGACGTGCACCATATCGGTGTCTCCGCCTTGGACATCGACGCGATCAACTCTTTCGAAGCATCTGCCGAGGCAGATAGGTTCTCTGTGACTAAATTGATCTTCCGCGAGGACAAACGGTTCATTGAAGCTGCTAGACTGCTGAATCAATCCAAGGCTCCTGTAGCAGAGTGTGTCCCAGAGCCTGATTGGAATGACTCGGATTTACTGGAGGCGCAGAAAGAGGTAGTTCAACTTGTTACGCTTCGAACGTTGTCCATCCCTACAGGGCGAGCTATGCTAGCATTCAGTGGACGACTGCCTTTGCTAACTGAGAAGCTCCCAATTCCTTCTTTCTCGCTTCAGTGTGTCATGAAACCATCGAATGTAACGATAAGTGCAGACCGAAGCTCTTTCAGTGAGGAGAAGGTTTGCTGGGCCTTCTTTCATAATGGTGTTTCTACCGGTCTCGCAATATCCAAAAACTCCAAGGGCATCGATACCTCGTGGATTCTTTTCAACAAACCGCAAGAGCTTACAAATCGGCACGCTGGCTTCTTGTTGGCCCTGGGTCTCAATGGGCACCTGAAGTCTTTAGCCAAGTGGGTAGCTTTTAAGTACTTGACACCGAAGCATACAATGACATCTATTGGTCTGTTGCTGGGTCTATCAGCATCGTACCTGGGTACAATGGATACTTTAATCACCCGTCTCTTGTCTGTTCATGTGACGAGGATGCTTCCTCTTGGTGCCGCCGAGCTGAACCTGTCGCCGCTAACCCAAACTGCGGGTATCATGGGGATTGGCTTACTATATTGTGGCTCCCAGCACCGAAGAATGAGCGAAGTGATGTTATCAGAGATCGAGAACGTGGACCAGGAGGAAAGCTCCCCAGGTCGAGAGGATTTGCGTGACGAGGGGTACCGCTTAGCTGCCGGATTCGCGCTCGGGTTTATAAACCTAGCAAAGGGAAAGGATTTACGAGGAATGCGAGA